CTGATAAGAGAGTGGAGAACCTGCCCCTAATAAGAACAACCTCATCGCCAGGAACTGGAGTGACCCATACCAGCTGTTGAAATGATGATCATCCCTGATAATCCGTGGAAGTGGCATACTGGCCAACAACTTTGGGTTCTTGGACCATCGTTTCAGTACCAAATTCTCGGGAAGGCTTTTCACCCTTCTTCCTTCAGCATAAAGATCATGTGCGTGCATGGTATTCTCATACTCGTATACTTACCACAACTCTACTCCATCTCATTTGTGTGAATATTATATTTCACCTCCCGAACCGTATCTTTGTTAAACATGGTCAGACTATATATGTGTAAGTTCCCATCAACACTTGTACCATTCTTGATGCAACCCTCCAATTGTTTGAATCCATTTGTGAATTCATCAAAGGCTGCTTTCGTGAATAACTTAGTTGCACTTAGTTCTAGGGTCCTTAGGACTATACTCTTCAGAGGAGGTAACCATAATTAGATTTAAAATTTAAGCTCAACTTTGTTTCCCTCATATCTCTACTCCAGCGGTCGTACTGAATGAAGAACTCAAGTAAATTGTGGTCCTTGTCTACATACCTTGCAATATATGCATTAATTCCCTCACATCTGGAGGTTGTTTTCAAGCCATCAAAGAAGTTAGAGCGCATGTATGTATTTGCCCATTCTCTTCGTCTGTCAAACAAATATCTAGAAATCCATGAATGATTATCCAATGAATACTTCTCCAACAATGCCGTCCATTTCTCGTCAAATTCATCTTCCTCATAGTCAGCATCCACAAATTTGCTCCATCCCTCCAAAAATTCTGGCTTGTTCTTCACATTGCTTTTAATGTTATTGGAGAGATGCCATGCACATAACCGATGGGTTGCGTGTGGGAAGACATTCTGAATGGCATTCTGCATCGCTTTGTCCCCATATATTACAATGGTATGAATCACTTTCTCGCCCAACATGTCCTTTCGAATATTTGAAGCCCAATTGTAGCTTTCCTCGATCTCGTTAACCAACACGGTGCTTCCGAACAAACGGGATTTGAAATGGTGATTGATACCTAATAAGACATCGAATGTTCTACAAATTAGGTCAAGTATTACCGACCAAAGCAGTGTAAACGCATCTTGAGAACATTGGCATTTTGACATATGATAAACAACTACAAAAGTGAAAAGCAGTAAAGCACAACTTAAGTTCGTTGCTGCCCACACTAAACATAGACCAAGAATAGACAAAACTATGTATAGTGAATAGACAACACTATGACCAGCATAAACTACATTAACAAGGTTAAGGATTCAACCCTTGATAACATGGTATAATAATGAAGGGTAACAAAGAACAAGAAGCTTTGTTATTGTTGTTGTTTTAATTAGATGAATGTGTGTAGTCGAGTGCCAGAACGGTCTAAATCTGAAGCTGTATATGTTTGTTTGTTGCCTGCTGCTGTTTCGTAATACTATGCAAATACTTGTAGTTTCACGAGGGAGATGGGAAACCAATATTTTGCATCGGTTTGTGTGCTTTCAAGTAGCTGGAACAATACATCAGTTATTGAAAAAGAAAACAAACCATGTTGTACCCACTCTTGTAAACCCAAAACACAATAACAATAAAACTCTACATGTCCAATTATAATTAACAACCTCGTAGTTTAGTATTTAATAGGTAAATCATGAAGGCACAAACTGTTCACGTGAAAATATAACAAGAGGCATGTTATATATGTTTCTTTTGTAAGTGGTGTCAAATGCCAGCAAATCTCTGAAAATTGAAATATCAGCAATGCTGATGCTGTATGCCCAAAACAGTTTCTCCCGTCTGTTTTCTTCATCAACAGTGTGTCTTGAAATGAATTGAGTGTCTGCACTTTTCTTTGATTCTAGATACACAAGTGTTGTTGCAGCATCACCTCCATTGATCCTTGTCATGCGATTTGTGCTATGAAAGTTATATCCATCTTTTTTTGTGTATCCCACCTTGTCATGCCCTCCAGCTGTTTCAACAGCCAGATTTATAACTTGAGAAGGTCTCATGCCTGCATTTGTTTTTGAATCGAAAGTCTGCCTTATCTGCTTCAGTCAATCCTCTATGCGATCTCAAGTAATGAGTGCACTGTTTTCGAACTGGTTCATGAGAGTGTTGCACCTCAAATTTATCAACAATCCATTTTTTGTCGGTCTTGTTCAACACCACCCGTAGCTGTGCTTTGCATCCAAATATGGTATCCATAGGCGATTCTCTCTATTTCTCCCCTTTATGAGGGCGTCTATTTCCCTAAGTGGAACAAACATACTTTTGACTTGTTACATCGTCGTGGACATTCCAAACTTTCCTATCGATCCTGACAGAAACCCCCACACCTTGGCATAGTTATTATAGAATGTATGCGCTTCATCGAGGCAATTGAACTTCCATCCGCTAACTTCTTTGGCTGTCAATGTTCACAATGATTCAACTTCATCCTCTCCATTACACCCAACAAAGTAGGGATATGGTGCATACTCAAGTTCCTCCGTTCCAGTAGTTCACTCTCCATTTAACCCCGCACTGCTGTTGGGAAGAGGAAGCTTTGGATTTTGTAGTTCATTTTCACCTAGTCCATTGACCTCGGTTCCCTCTTCTGCCATTGTTTAAGGCCACAACTTTAATCAGTTTGAGGGCTGCCGATATGAAGCTTTTTTATAATGGGGTTGCATATGAATTTGTAGAGGAGATTTGTGTGCGCGGTTTCTTTTCCCTCTCTAACCGTTCCCGAGTTTGCATATGTATTTGAATTCTTGTAATTTCATTGGTTTTAATTATTAGGGTGGACAATTGCCATGTCACCAAAACTGATTCCTACTATCAGAGTGGAGAATTCTAAGGTAGCGTACCATCCATACAGGTGGCAGCAGAATTTTAAATTCTTCTTTTTCTCCCCAACACCATTTTCAGTTCAACCGACAACATATTTATGTTTCATTAACAGATACTTTTCCATTCGAATATGTAAATCCTTTTCCATTCAACATTTACACCTTTGTAGTTAATATATACCATTGTCTGCGGGTGAAGTATTAGTATTCTGCATTGAAAAGCATGGCTATGTTTTCCTTATCTGCAGGACATTCTGGACATTCAAAAAGCAGATGATGGATAGATAGTTGATGTGTTTGGTATTTGAATGATGACCGACAACTATGCTTTCTCAGTTTTTATCCTCCCGTTAAATACACTATGATGTCTATGAATGTACCATAGCCTGTAATGTCCTTAGCTGTTCAATCAGTTTCAAAAGATTATGAGGGACAAGTGAGTGATTGTGCATTGTTAAGTTACAGATACATATTCTATGTCGTATGAGTTCCTAAGATTAATGTCCTTAGCCTGTAATGTCGGCTTGTAACGTCTATGATGCAGCTATGTCAACTTCTTCAACGAAGAAGGCAATCTGAAGTTATAGATACATATTGAGTTCGATCGATGCCTTTATCTCCAAAGATGCCTTCAGAAGGTCGTATTGATTCTTTTGTATTTATTTTGCAGCCAATACATCGGTCTTTTCCTCAAGCGTCGGATTCTGCACATATCAGGAGAAGTAGTAGCAATACAGCAACAACTGCAGAAAATAGCAGCATCAATCGAGTCTGAGCAAGCTACCACATGTAAAGAAATCACATATGTTCATGACTTTCACTGTGATAAGTGAGATGAGTACATGACATGCTTATTAGAAATTTCCTAGCTGAGTTCGTTTGGCAAAGTATGCTATATGATAAGGGTTATTCAGATGGCAAAGCTCATGAGTTTAGACTTTAGATTTCTGGATTATTTATGTTAATTAGTTTCTGAGTGTTTCTCTTTTGGCAAACGACTATAAAGAGAATTGACACTGAAACCTGTAGATGTTGTTGTTGCTGATGTCGTGTGAGCAGACAAAGTAAGGTGTTCCAAACATATGTTGTGTCGTCGTTGATATGCTAATGTTGTTGTTATATTGCTAACTTTTCTGCAGCTGAGGTTCGGGAGAGTAAAGGAAAGTTATGTTGTATGTCCTTGAGGCTTTGCTGCCGCTATTGCTGTACCAAGTCCTCCTTGACTACTTTCAAGGGATGCCACTGCTACATGGAATGCAAATAAAATGAAATGGTTACATGTATAGTTGAATGATACCGATGTCAAGTGGTTCTATTTGGTAGCAGTATGACTTCCTTCTTTGTATTAGCCCAAGTTTTAGGGTGACCATCAATCCTTTTCCATACACTATTAGTATTCTTTTTTTACATATAATGTCTTAACAATTTTTTTTGTTTTTGTTATACCGCTTTACACGATACTTTTTTATCGGATGTCCCCGAAAGTACTTAAAGATACTAAACACAATTGAACATGCAATTGCAACATCCTCCCTGCGGCGTAGCAGCGGGTATTATTTCTAGTGTATGTTATAAAAATGGCAAAAGCTTGGACTTGGTTCGGATCTTATAAATGTTTAGGTCGATATAAGACTCAATCACTCGACATCAGGATAAATAAGTTTCAGGATGCAAGTTTTATGCACATAATAAGATTCAGGCTGCAAGTTTTATGCACCTAATATGTGGACCAAAGAGGCCTCCAAGAACGACAAAAGATGAAAGCAAGTAACACCAAAAGCAAGCAAGCTGCACTTAGTTCCCCATAATGCTTCTTTCTTTTTGTATTTCCCTAAACTACACAAGAAATCTCTAGCGTTAGTTAATTTCATGCCCATAACAGGCCATGGGTTCACACCAGCAGCTGGTAGCATAGGCCGAACAATGGGAACCCGTCTCACGACGAAGAATGCTTCGTTTAGTCGTGCATCACGGCTCATGAACTGCGACACCTTATCATCAAGGGTAAATTTAAGCTCCAAGCTCCTCACCTTACGCTTCATCTTATATAACTTCCGACCAAAGATGAAAAATCTCATTACAGCTGCAGCCATTAAGAAAGCCTACACAGGGCTAACTTTGAAAACACAAAACCTCAACAACTCAAAGGAAACTTTCCACGAGACCACTGGATGCTTCTTCCCCTCATCACCGCCATCTGATTTCCCATCCCCATTTTCAACAAGACGCGAGTTCTCCTCCATGGAGCATTCCCACCACGAGTAGCTTCGTCACTCATAACCTCAGAACCCAAAACCAAACCATCACCACCAGAACCAGACCAGAACTTGGTCATATCTTTCTCCTTCCCAACCTTCTGCTCAATTTCTTCAAAACCCAGTTGGCGACTCTTCACATTCTCTTCTAAACATGATTCACTCTTCGCCTTGCAGCTCAAAAGCTCGCTCACCAGCTGATCAAATTCACTTCCATAAACTTCCTTGGCTTCAATTTCATCGCTCTTTGACAAATTTCCAACACCCGATTCATTTCTAACATCACAGTCAATATCTTTTAGTCATCCGACCGATCACTAGCTAGATCAGACCAGAATCCAACTAAATTTTTGCCTCTGAACCGATTGTCAATAGCAGGATTGATCCAACTCGGATTATCAGACTCAACAGAGCTCTCTAACTCACCAGCTCAAGCAACAATAGACTTATCAAACATGCTATCATTTCCAATAAAGAACTAATCCAACATGATCAGCCCGCGGAATCAACCTCGATTTCCTCGAAACTCCTCGGATTCTCCTCCAATACAGGGGATCTAACCACAATAGCCTCGGTGTAGGAATGAACCTCCCACTCCTGAAACTCCAGCGAACCTTCTCCTTCCATGGCTATGTGAGAAAAAGTGTAAATCTATCTATCTCTACCTCTACGAATTGGGAGAAAGAAAGAGAAAAGATTGAAACTTAACACCCAAATTCGGAGACCCTTTTTGGATTTTCCGATTTGTGATTCTGGGGAAAAAGGAGACGAGAGGAAGAAAGGGAAAGGAAAAAGAAGAAGTCGCAGGGTTTTCTTTAGTTTGTTTTTTTTTTATCATCGTCGATCAGCTTCTAATTGCAGAACGATTGAAACAAAATTCTAAACAATGTATAATATGAGTGTTGAAAATGATGTTCGAAGAAAGTAGGATATCAAAGTACTTTTGGCAACAACAAAAAAAGTAGGATACCAAAGTACAGAAAGGTCTAAAAAAAATTGGGAGCTATAATGCGCGTATAAAATAATAATGGGTGTTGTTAGTAATTATATTTTCTAATTAATAATTAATTAAATCATTATTACTAATGACCGTCAGATTAGATCAACGGTGTAAGGCATCTGGCGTATACTATACGCCTGACATACACCAGTATGCCAAGCACCATTAATTTTTTTGTCTATGCATGTTTGATGCATGTTTGATGCATCTCTGTCTGAGTAAATTCACCCGGGGGTACCGTAGAAGGCACCATTAATTCACTCTCCTAGCTCCACCCCTGATCATGAGATCGACATTCCAATCACGAATAATTAAACCCAGACCTATTTCGCCATTACCATTAGTACCCACATCAAAACTCATTTTCAGAATCCCTATGGTTGCTCTGAAAATCTAGAAACTGGGTCATTTTTTACCATTCTCAATATAATACAAGTACACTGGTTTTCCTAATACCAAATTCAGGTTAGAGAATGGATGATTTTCCGGATCCTGGCATGGAAGGATGCCAAATGTAGTAGGACATATGTAGGAGGAAATTTTGAATATGCCTTATATCGATGGTGCGGTTGGATTGAGTTCTCATGCTTCGGGTGAGATTGTTGTGTAGAACCGTGAGGGTATCATGCTATTTGTGCAAGGATTTGTTTATGCATGTTTGATGGATCTCTGTCTGAGTGAATTAATGGCTTTCTGGGATGCGATTCGATGGTGCTCTATGAAGGGTCTTGCTGAAGTCACTTTCATGTGAGATGCTCAAGCTGTTATTTCTAAAATCAGAAATTTGGTAGACTTAGGATGGGAAAGGTGGAGCTATCTTCGAAGAGATCTCCAAGCTACGACAATTGTTTACAGTTTTTTCAATTGGTTTTCGAGGCCGGCAAAACAATCGAGCAACTTATTTGGTAGCCAAAAGGCTCTTTCTTTGTTTTATGTTTGTTTGAGTGGTTTTGATTTTCGTGTTTGGTTTCTTTGGGGATGTAAAATTGGTACCTTCGATTCTTGGTAATGCAAGTGAGCTTTTGATAAACAAAAAAAAAACATGGCTTTCTTTCCGCAACCCTCAAGCATGACATCACCCAAGGGAATGTCAAACATAATATGATCTAAAGAGGTAGGCATGCGCACCCATAATATCTAACGAACAATGTCATTAAGGTTTCTCAAGGTACCAAACATGCACACCCACACATGGCAAGCATGATAGCTTCATTTGTATCAAGCATGACACCCAACTAGGTAGCCATCACGGTCGCATCTCATCAAGCCAACAAGACCCCATGTTAAGCACACCAAGTAGGTTACTGGAACAAGCCGTCAAGCAAGACACCTCCATGACACAGAGATTGCTCATCAAGCTCATTGTGAAGTCTTCAAGTCATCTCAATATCAAGTGGTGTACATGGAGGGATGTTAGGGCACCAATAAGCTACATCAAGTACTCCAGCAACCGGAGGAGCGATTACCAACATTTGACACCACTTGTAAAGTTCTACCTTTTCTCTATACTGTAGTCATAATCTTCACCTTCAGTATCCAACTCCCGTAAGATTTTCATAGGAATAGGCATAATTTAAATTAGTTTGTACCAAAAATCATCAACTACCGCCGTTCGAACTTTATTCGAAAAAGTTTGAACCTTATTTAAAAAAATTTGAACCGTATAATTAAATCATTATCCAAAAACTTCAAAGGAGGATCTATTAATGTCAACACAAGTTTTCTCCAAGAGAAAATAGAACACGATTATGCAATGAGAGGGAATAGGGAAGACTATCAGTTGAGAATTAGACAAACAATTAATCAGTTGGAAAGATAGTAGAAAGCTGCAGAACTTAGATAAATGGGCATCCAAATTGCAAGGCAGTTGCTTGCCTCTAGAAGAAATTGGTCCACTATTCCACACATTCAATTGAACTCTCTGATAGTTCAAGTAAGAGCCTCCATTTGACTGTCTAACTACTAAACCTAGGATCTGGCTTTCAAAAACAAAAAGAAGCATAGGGGCAGTCTGTCTTCTTTTACCTCCTCATCATGAAATCACAACCATTGACTCGGTTAGACATAAAAAGCTGCAAACTCACCACGCATGCATAGAAACCATGATGCATTAACCATAAGCACATGATTCAATCAGCAGGGAACAAGTAAACCAGAAAGAATAAGGATTCACAAATCAAGTATAAACCAGATCTCCTGTTGGGTAGCTGCAATAGATGATGATCATAAACCCTCTCTCCCTCTATCTCACAATATGTACAACGAAAGAACTTCCAAGCACTCTTTCAAGCTCCCAATCTATGCTCCCTGGATTTCACAGCAAAACTAAAGAAGTACCCTCTATGTACACACTAACACGCTGTACATGGCATCTCTCTCGCTATAAAATCGCTATACCTTCTTCAAGAAAAGCACGGTGCAACATCTTTTTCGGGCATCAATGGGGTCCTGCAGAGAGGGCAAGTGATGTTCCAGTAGTCCAACCATTTCTCAAGGCACACCATGTGGAAAATATGCCCACAGGACAAACGGTTGATCTCTGATTCTGGGTTGAACCGTGTCAAGCAGACTGAGCAGTCATGCTCAGTCCGGCATACCTTGTCAAACCGAGTTGGTGGACTCCTGCTGCGGAACTCCTCGATGTAGCCCTCTGAGGCGGCCCTGCTTCGGAATTGGTCAATGAACGCATCTGAGGTAGTTGTGGTGAACTCAAAAGGGTGCATCGTAGGTTCTTCCGTGAACTCGGAGTATGGAGGGGATGACGGAGGGAGATGGATACCAACTATGTGAAGGATTGAACGGAGGATTCCTTTGACAATAGAGATCGACAGTGCCGTGTTTACAAGGAGTAGACATAGGACTCCTTCAGATGGAGATGGAAGAGTTGAGAGACCCATCTTAGCGAAATTGAACTTGAGGAGTTAAATGAGGATCAAGATCTTATCTGTGCAACTAGATACCTGAACAAAGGAACATAAACATGGTAGAAATCAGATACTGAATGAATAAACTAGCTTCCAAACAACAAACGAACTCAAAATACGAAATCATTCCATGAACTAAACTGAGCAATAGCCTTTTGTTTGTGGCAAAATTCATTGGAAGCCCAGTGACTAGCCAAAAATTGAATGAAATCAAAGGATGCTGATCCAAACTAGACTAGAAGTTCAAGAACTTCAATCCAATTTTCGAATAAACTACCACTATCAATAGAGATGGAAGACCATAAAGGATCAATTATCACTCTATGCAGAAAACCAAAAGTTCTATCAGCCTAATGAAATGTCAGGTATAACTGAGACCGAAATTAGAAGAACAACCCTTTTGAATTTAGGGTCAATACAGATCGACCTAGATTCCAGAAATCAAGGAAACCCTCCGAAACCCAGGTCCTCCCTTAATTAGCATCATCAATTATCAGCTTCTGATGGCACAGATAGAGACAAAAGATCGGACAGTATACAAAATCTGGACCAAAAGAAGAAACCTCCACAAATGGGGAAGCTCAACAGAAGTCACCTGGATTTGGAAAACCCAGCTAGCTAAATCAGAAAACATTCGTCCAGCTAATATCCAGATCCAGTTTTTTTCCATTTTAAATACAGAAAGACACGATCTTTCCTATGTCATTTCAGAATATTAAACAAGAACTAGAGAGAAAACAGCTTAGCTCTGTCGAGAAAGTGAACAAAGGAATGGATAAAAACTTACACACAACACAGCTGGAGTTGTAAAGTTTCCTACTTTGCAGAATCAAAGTAAAAATTGCAGCAGTTACTGTTGAATGATCAGCTAGGAAACCCAGGAAGCGAAGAAGTAACGGTACAAGCCAAAAACCCACAAAAGGTTATGGATTCATTCAATCGGCTAGAGAGATTAGTGGGAGAAAAAATGGAAAGTGTTTCAGCTGCTCGATGCCTTGTTTATTTGCTTTGCCTTCTATCTATGGATGATGGGCTTTTTATAATTACCATCCACAGGAAAACAGGCCAAGAGAATTCCCACCCACCACCCTCCAGCAGCCTAACCCATATTGGTTTCCAGTTTTCAACCATGGTTAAGTCATCCGTTCCTTTCCGGAAGTCTTAAGCACTAACCATGGTTACTTTATATCAACATCCTTCCTTCTTTTACTCCCTTTTCCCAGGGTCCTTTTTGCTTCCACTTTTTCATTAGCTTCAAAGCTTTAACTTTCCATCTTTACTTAAGGGGTTAATTGCATGATTGGTCACTGAGATTACAAAAAACGTTCATGTTTGGTCACTGAAAATATTTAAATTCAATCTTGGTCACTCAAATTAGTTAAATGGTTCAAGTTTGGTCACTCTCCGTCCAACTCCGTTAAATATGTCTGATGTGGCGGTCAACTCTCAAAGTTGACCGTTAACTCGGTGACGTGGCAATTAAAAAATATTAAATAAAATAAATTTTAATCTTCTACCATTTCCAACTCATTTTCAAGTAACATAAAAAAATAAAAAAAATTTAGAGGCTCCTTTGAGGACATGATATTCTCAGCCCAGTACATCAATTTCTACAGCCAAATCTCCAGATCCAGCACCTGCGGCGCCGACACCTCGACTCGACCGCTCCACCGGCACCGGAGCAGCTTCAGGCACTTCAGGCTCGGGAAATTCGCAAAAGAAACATGTACAGTTGCTGAATTACAAGTAGTAGTAGCGTCCTGCTCGTCGTCGCCGCCGTGGAAACTGCACGCACTCAGTTCCAATCTCGTCAGCGAGATGAACTCGGGAGACGCCGGACCTCGGAAAATCCATCTCGACAGCCAGAGAGTCTCGAGGGAGGACTTTTTTAGAAGGTCGCCGATGAAGAAAAAATCCGCTCCGTCAACCTGAGCAGAGACGGACAGATCCTGAAGCGGCCGCCCCGACAAGACGACGTCGTAGTGTCGCATCACGAGGCTGAGCACCGCCAGCGAGTTGGTGGCCTTGAAGTGGAAGCTGACGGCGGTCGGTAGGGCGGCGGCACGGCGGCGGAGGGAGAGGAGAAGGTTGTCTACGTGTTGAATGTAGCCCGGCAGGTCGCTACAGTGGAAATTGAGGGTAAGGGTGTCTTTCCACAGGGTCCGCCATCCTTTCCGCAGGGCGCTGGTACGGAGAAGGGAATATCATGTCCAGGGCGCTGGTACGGATGAGTGGGATGGGGGAGAGGATCAGTGGTTGGGGATTTGGTGGTGGAGCGGCGGCGAGCAATTGGAGGGGAATTTGGTGGGTGAAGGGGATGGGGAGGAGGAATTGGAGGAAGAGGAAGAGTTTGGGAGTGTTGATGGGCTTGGTCCATTTGCTGTTGTTGCCATCACTGGTTCTGTTGTTGTTGTTCGGATGGGATTTGGCGGTAGAAATTGATGTCCAGGGCTGGGAATATCATGTCCTCAAAGGAGCCTCTAAATTTTTTTTTTTTTATGTTACTTTATTATAAAAATGAGTTGGAAATGGTAGAAGATTAAAATTTATTTTATTTTTTATTTTTTAATTGCCACGTCATCGAGTGTCAATTTTGAGGGTTGACTGCCACATCAGACATATTTAACGGAGTTGGACGGAGAGTGACCAAACTTGAACCATTTAACTAATTTGAGTGACCAAGATTGGATTTAAATATTTTCAGTGACCAAACATAAACGTTTTTTGTAATCTCAGTGACCAACCATGCAATTAACCCTTTACTTAAGAGTCGTGATTATTGGTTCTTGGCTTCTTGCCTCTCGGTGCAAGACTTGGTAGACAGAAGAATGTAGATGGTAATGAATGGTTGGTTTGGATTGAATATTTGTCAAAGGTTGTTATTTAAAATGAATTATCACATATCACATAATTAGTATAGGCAACTGTTAGAATATGACTTGAATTTATTTTGTGTTATGGACCTATTTTGTTTGGGTTTGTGTTTGGACTTTGTTTTGATTTTTTTCTTGTAGGTTTGAAAAAGATATTTGGTTTTCTGTTTGAGATTAAGAAAAGAGTTCTATAAATACTCTTCATCACTCTAATCTGTAGTAAGGTCAGTCAGGTTAGTTTGTTTGGTTTGTCCGTTCGGAATTTTGTTTGTAACCTGTACTATCCTCAAATTAGTGAAATTTGTTCTCCCCTGCCCGTGGATTAGCTAGCACACATTGTGTTAGTGAACCACGTTAAATTTGTGTTCGTTCATGTTGGTTTGGATTATCAATTGCACGCTTCTGTACGCTTCTGTTCTGACAGCAACAAATAGTATTGTGAAATTTGCACGTCTAGGCGAGTTATATGTTGTAATATTTAGGGTTGGTTACCGGTTTACCGATAACCAGTAATTGGTTAATTGGTTGTCAGTACACCGAAACCTTCTAAGTGGCTTTCGAAACAGTACCGGGTTGGCCGTCGATTACCATGCCTCTGCTCCTACTGCACAAACCATGCCTCTGCTCCTCGGCGATCTCTCTCCCAAGATCTCCACTTGCCAGCCTCGATCTGGGATGAATTGGTCGAGGAAGGTGAATCTGCCGGCGACGATGATGGAGAGTGAGAAGGTTGAATCCCGAGCCGGGTCCTCGACGCCAAGGTAGTCAAAATCGCGCTTTAAAACTTAAAAACTTACGATTTTACGTTTCTAGGTCACTAAAACGCTTCTACACAAAATATCAGTTTTATAACTTTTAATAGTTAAAAACTTCACTTTAAAACTTAAAAAATTACGATTTTACGCTTCTAGATCACCAAAACATTTCTATGTAGAAACTCGCTTTTGACTACATTGCTGGACGCTTCCCATAATAGAGACGAAATTGGCTTCCCCTTCGTAGACGACGAACATATTGAAAGGCCCCGATTTACCCTCACCACTGTCGCAGGTCGTCTATCCACTCCATCCATTTCATATGCCCACTCCATCCCCAATTTACCCTTACAGCACTGAAAAAGGGCCTCGATTTACCCTCACCACTGTCGCAGGTCGTCTGCTTTCTTCTTCCCTCCATTGTTGCTATCGCCTGGGTCTGGTTCGGGATTGTTCAAATCCGTCGACAAGATGGACGGAAAAGGCATATGGATCTGTTGCATGTGGATGAGCCACATAATGAGGCTTAATGGCGACAATTTGGCTGTTGTCCACAAACATGCAAGAGGGAGAGCCAGATCTGCAAAATCGCCCCGTCGGGTGTAAGGGCTGGGAGATGAGGGAGGGAGGAGAAGTAAAGATCGATCTTTCATTGTTATTCCGACCAGAAACCTTGCCCCTCCCCCAAATAGACGGTGGGCCTTCGACCAGAGCTGGTGACGCCTCTCTTTACGCTTATGCCTCTTTCGCTAAGGATGGCCATTAAGGACTGGGGAGGAAGGAAGACGGAGAGAAGGTGAGTGAGTGAGGGACAATGTTGATGCTGCTTCCAGGGAATAAATCCCTTACCCATGGGTGATGGCTTGAAGAAAAGCAACAACGATGGGAGGTGTTGTGACCGATGACGGGGATGCTTCAAGCACCACTGCACTAAAGTTGGTGGAGATTTGTTTCTTTTTCCACAGCTTGTCAATTGAGGAAAAGGACGGAGAGATGAACGGAAGAAGAAGCGAGGGTGTGGACTAGGAAGGGCTGGCAATTGTCGAATTATCAGGGCGGATGCCGGTTATCCGGCATACCAGGTAACCGCGATAATTTTCCAGGAAAGATTCAATATATCGTTTGGTCTGTGATGGCTACTGCCAATGGGTATCGCTGGTTAACGGTTTGATAATCGGATATACTGTTAACCAGCAAACTGATTACCACCTCTAGTAATATTGTTGATGTGGTATTTGCATTCAAATTTCTTATGCTACCAATTTGTCCTTCTTAACTTTATATCTTCCTCCATTTTCCATCAATTCAAAATTTGTTATGCTAGCAATTTGCCTTTTTTAACTCCATATCTTTCCTCGCTTTCCCATCGTTAGGTATTTTTTTAATCTTCAATTTTGAGTTAATTATTGGAATAAATGCATGTGTTTTAGTGAGAGCTTATTGATATGTTGTAGATGGAAACAATTTACGGTTCTATTGAAGAGAGCGTGTTGTGGAGGTTGAGGTGCCTCCGGTTTTACAGAACGTAAGAGTTTGAAAAGTAACACAGTGCGGAAATATAAATCTACCTTAATTGACGATTGAAAGATTAGAGAAGGAAGACATTGCATAGGCAAGCTCCCCTTCGTCTCCTAATGATGCACCCTCGTTGATTGGTTGTATAGTCAAGCATCCACTCGAACTAATTGGCGACAAGGAACCTTAGGATTTCTCCCTTGAGGTGTCACACCATTCGGTCTAATGAAGTTCGATCGAGTAGGACTGCTATTTCTAGTCTCATCCTAAACAACTGGGATTTTCAATCCTTGCACCTCGAAGGAATGTGGATCTGTTGTAAGCTCTCATTCGAATTGACAAATAATGAAATAGAGCAAATCAAGCATCACACATATGAAAAACAAACAATTGTATTAAATCAAATCATCGAGCTTACATGGTTAGAACCACTAGAGTTCACATACCTATGATGCAACTAAGAAAATTAGTCATCCATGGGTAGGAGTTCATGGGTGTTCATTGATGGAAACGAAGACATCAGGATGTCCACTAGAATATGTGTCGGTGAAAGAGAAAACAAGCCAGAGGCTCTGTTTTGGGCGTCGATTCTCCCTTGTAGGTTGGTCTCATTCTACGCCAGGAGGTTGCTCCGTCGACAGAGTAACGACCCTTCATTGACCTCTCGTCTCCTTCTCTTTATTTCCTATCTCTAGTGACCTATTTGTAGGCCTTTGGTTAGGCTTTCCATGGAGATAAAACTGTAGCTCCAACGTCATTCAGCAACTTAGAGCGCTCCAAACACGTGGCCAATGAATCAAGATGCTTTGGGATGACTTCTTGACAAAGTGGTTGAGCTCTCCAAAACGGTGCCATTTTTCGTCGTTTCTCAGGCGCTCGGGGCCGCTGCTTCTTCCAGCCTTCCAAGCGTCAGGTCTTTGAATCTCAGCTCTAGTAACTTGATCTCGATGTCCCTTATGGCTTCCAAGTGGTACACTAGACAACTTTGACCTGAGATTGCACAGAACGCTACCAAAAGCGTATCAATTGTATAAAAGCAATCATAGGATTGCTATAACACACTTGAAATCATAGCATAAATTCGAGGTATTATGACACTAACAATGAAAAATGTATGCACTTAGTGTCACAATACAGGGTTCTAAAGTAGATACTTTCGCATGTCATCACTTATAATTGATCATTTCAGAGAGCTAGTTATGGTTTAACTAGTAGTAGTCATTATGAATTTAAAAGTTGTTTGAATCATTTGTAATCTAAGTTAACTTATGTTCATGTTTTGTTAACATATTTAGTAAAATATGAAAATTGTATATTTTTTTATGGTTAAATAAAAAAATTTCATTAAGAACGGGCACCCAAGAATAACTTGAGCACTTCTCAACTCATACAACCATAATACTGATTACAAATTCTTCTGCCCCTGTCCAACAATAAAGATAATGGTATGTTGTAGTATTAATATATGCAGAGTTTTATAGGCTGCTTAAACATGATAGTATGTTTAAAGATTCTCTTTAGTTATAAAATATTATTAAATTCAATATGTATTTTATATTGAAAGTGTCAAACTAACAAGAAAAAATTAGACGACTCAACAATAATACACGAATGAAAATTTTAAACACATTTAGTATGTATTCGTGTATTATATGAATTTTCACTAATTAAGTTGGTTAAGAGATATTGAATCCTTGTTAGTGTTAGCATAATTAAGGTAAGAGGGGAGGTAAATAATGGTTATGATTTATGAGAAAAGTGAAAAGAAAGACGAACAAAACTAATTGGATAAAAAAAATGGTAAAGAGTGTGACAAAAAAGTAAAGGGTAGTTTGAGATTAATAAAAAATGATAATTTCAACAAAAAGAGTATAACTTGTGTTTGTTTGTACTGTTTTTATTTGAGAAATTTTTTCTGAAGTTTGGAAAAAGTATGTTTGGTAAGAATTTAGAAAAATAAAGTTTGATAGAAAGTGCACATTTTTTATTAATAGAAAAATAGTATTTTTTTTTACAAAATATAATCACATATTGATTCAAAAAATAGATAGTTACATCCTGGAATTAAGCTAGGTCCAGAAATCAAAGAAACGACTCATAGTTGGAACTCAAAGAAACGACTCATAGTGGGCTACACTATTACTACGCCGACCTACAAATCGAACACAAAACCCAGAGTGGATGGCAAAGTAACACACTTCTTTTTCAAGAATAGCCCCCATCCGATTATCACTGGTATGGGCCCGATTGATCTTCTCGATAATCACCTAGGCAGCACCTTTGAATCTTATTTATGTGAAGCAGTGATTCAAACACCATAGAATAGCTTCCCGAAGTACGAGCAATTCAACCACCATAAGGTCATCAATCAAAGGAAATTGAACTCCATTAGCCATTATGATATCCCTAGTTGGGTTCTTAAGAACCATTTCGCCTGCCGAGTGAGACCCACACCTTGTAGCCCCATCCCACATTCAAACAACCATATTAGTCCCCCTTGGATCCAACTGTTGTAGCAAAGGGACAGAGGCCTGAGGTGCTCGTTCCATTCGACCCACAGGAAAACCTACCCACTCTTCATATTGCTGGTTAAACTGGCGCATCAAAGTAGGGATCCCAAATTATTTACCCTCAAAGACAACCCAGTTACGAGACCGCCAGATCCTCCAAAGAATTGCAACCAGCGCCATGAACAGTGAAGGTTGATGTATTAAGGACATCAACTTCCTCAGAAAGAGCGGGAAGGTATGACGGGGCAACCCCTCCCCAAGATACTCCAGACCTTAATAGTCCCAAAGGGCTCGCGCCACCGGGCAATAGAGAAACCAGTGTTCCATTGTTTCAGCATCAGCCCAACAAACCGGGCATCTAGGCAACACAGAGACATCCTTCTCGATGAGGCTTCAATAGTTGGTAGGATTCGGTTAAAGATCTGCCAGATAAACACTTTCAATTTGGGGGGAATATCAGCCTCCCATAATCGAATCCAGTTGGTCTTATCCATCTAACTAGTCGTAGACCTCCAACGACCCTTCCGTTTATCAAGTGAGACAGCTAAATGGTAGGTCGATTTGACAAAGAAAACCCCGCCAGTCGTGTCATGTCAGATCAGTTTGTCCTCCACATTCCAACGCGGAAGCAGAATGGCTTTAATGGCACGACAGGTAGGCGGATCAAACCACTGCTAAGTTTGAGCTCACACCAACGCCCTTCCCCTGACAAATCACCTCGGCAACATGCGGGTCACCCCCATTTGGTAAAACCCAGGGATTATATGCAGGGGGACCGGGTTGTAGCTGTGGTATCCAGTTGGAATGAAGCAGAGAAGCAGCCCAACCATTATCAGTCTGCCATCTTAAGCCCATTTCCAATAACTGCCGACCATAGAGGATACTCTGCCATCCCCACGATGGGCGAGAGCGAGTCGTAGCACTGAGGAAGGTCCCAGTCGGAAAAATATTTTCCTTTATAAACCTGGGCTAATAGAGACTGGGGTTCATTAAGGATACGCCAACCAATATTGGCTAATAAAGCCTGATTAAAGTGTTCAAATCGACGAAATCTCATCCCCCCATCAAGTTTACTCCTGCACATATTGCGCCAGGACATCCATCGAATCCTTGAATGGCCCTCCTCCCCATCTCAACAGAAGCGGGTCACATGTTTGTCCAAGAGACGTCACAATGACAGAGGTATTTTCAAACAGGACATAACATGTAGCGATAGTTCTAGAGCAACTGATTTAATCAAAGTTTCCTTCGCTGCCCAATATAAAGTCCTCTACTTCCACCCTTGGAGCAGCTCTTGGAGCAGCACTAGGAGCTTCTCCTCCAGATATCGGAAAGTGGCCCCGGGCAATCAGCGTAGGTAAGCCGAGATACTTATCATGGACCCCTACTGCCCCGACTTTTAGAATCTCAGCCAAGAATTCTTGCTCCGGCAGAGCTATGTGTTTACTAAAGCAAACTGCCGATTTAGC